GTCACTCATTTCTTATTTTCATAGAAAGAATATCACAGTTTTTCTTAAAACTATTACGTTTCAGAAAAAGGTACGCCAGTTCAAACTTGTGTTCTGGGAAATCAACTTTGTAATCCTCATATATGATTTTCACGAAAACATTATATATAGTTTCCTCATTTGCGGCAGGTAATTTGCTACCTAAAGTGATGAATTATAGGAAAGCAGCCATTCTGATTGCCATTTTCTGCGATAGCAGATAACTTTAGTTTTAACAATTTTTTAAAATTAGCATCGTTCTCATGAAATTCAACAATTCAACAGAGATTACATAAAGTTAGTTGAACTATAATTTATCACATTATTACTAAAATAAATTTATTATATTTTAATCATTAATATAAATGAGGTATTCATAAATTATTTGTTAGCAAAGCAGTCACTTACATTGCAAAGCAACGATCAACAGATTTATCTTATACATAAATAATTATAATAAGAATATTATTATTAGTATTATATTAATTTTGAGTTTATATTTTAGTTATTGAAATTCTAATTTGGATACAATTGTCTTTTCATATTTAATAAAGTATAATTTTCAAAAAGTAGAAAGGAAGGTGTATTTTCATTTTAAAGTAATAATATAGTACTTTTCAAATTATTCATTTTTCATCATTCTAAAATTTATATTCTCTTTTTAGTTAGTATAGAAAATAAAGCATGCTATATGTAATTGTAAATGACCAAAAATAATTAATGAAAAAATCTAAAATTAGTTATAATATCAGTGGTAAAATTTGTAGTTACCACATGATAATAGGGGTAGTTTCATATGTGTACTTCAGTTTTAATAGATTAGAGTAGAGTTTGTTCTGCTTACCCGAGCGAATGTTTCTTTTACTTTTTGTAATAAGTAAATATTTTTTTCATAATTAATGATATAAGTATATATTGTTTTCATAATTAATGATATACACTTTTAACAATTACCATATAATTATTTGTATATTATTTTATTTCCAAAAATAAAGTGTGAATGCGATAATTTAATCGAATGCTTAAAACTGTCATTTATATCAATTCTTTCTTATAATGTTCTTAATTTATTAGTTTTAACCTGGAGTTTTAGATTAGAGAATCAATTATATTTTTAATATTATTTGTATCAGTAATTTATATATTAGTAAATTTGGAAGTAATTAACTTTTAAATGATTAGCAATACATAATTAATTAATTAATTATGTATATATTATATTTTGTTTAACACACAAATATTTCTACTAATGATAATGTACAATAATAAATTTAGTTTAAATATGATTAGTAATAATTGTGTCACATTCCGGTTCTTCTAAACCGAGATTTTTTTTTTTAATTAACTTGATTTGGACCAAAACTCATTATCTTTTATCCATCATTTTTGGCCCATATAATAACCCTAGGGGTTCCTCCATTTTTTCTTATAAAAAGGAGATTTCCCCTTCTATTCTCTTTCATTTAGAAATCAGCACAAATCCCTGCAAAATTCTACAGAGATCTGAAAACCCTAGCTGTCAAAGTTTCTCATATCTTCTTCTCTCTTATTCTCTCTTGGTGACCTCTCTCTCATCTCTCTATTGCATGTGTTTCTTTCTCCTAGCTGCTGGTTGTTCGTTGCACGCTGGAGCCAGCCGTTGGAGATCCCAACAAACCGATCCAAGTTTGTATCTAGATCTTTCTAGATCTGGCCACCGGTGAGGTAAAAAACTAAAGTTCTTGTTTTCTGTATCTCCTTAATATCTTTTATCTTAAATCTTTCATCATAAATTTTGTATGGTTGCACATATCCTATTTTTTTGTAGATCTGGTTCGTAGAAGTTGCTGCTTCTTCACTTCTTTTCATCCTTAGATCTATGGCTAAGGTGAGGCAAATGTGATCTCTTCTTCTTTTATTTTTTTTTATATTATCACTTTAAAATATGATTTTTTTTATTCTAATCATTCAAAATTGTGTTATCATAAGCATACACGTAATTTTTTGTTAAATAAACACATATGAAACTACCTCTATTCTCATGTGGTAACTACATATTTTACCACTGATATTATAATTAATGTTAGATCTTTTCATTAACGATTTTTTTGTCATTTACAATTACATATAACATGATTTATTTGCTACACTAACTAAAAAGAGAATATAACTTTTAGAATGGTGAAAAAAAGAAAGGAGTAATTTGAAAAATATTATATTATTACTTTAAAATTTGGAAAATACACCTTATTTTTCACTTTTTTGAAAATTACACTTTATTAAATATGAAAAGAAAATTGCATCAAGATTAGAATTTAAAATAATTAAAATATAAAATCAAAATTAATAAAAATAATAATATTCATATTATAATTATATATGTTTAAGATAAATTTGTCGATCGCTGTGAATGGCTGCTTTGTTAACAAATAATCTATGAATACCTTATTTAAATTAGTAATTAAAATATAATAAAAGTTATTTTGGCAATAAAGTGATAAATTATTGTCTAAGTAACTTTATGTAATCTCCGTTAAATTATTAAACTTAATGAGCAAGATGCTATTTTAAAATTTTGTTAGAACTAAATTTATTTTAGTAATAACCTCTCGTAATTTTGAAGTATGTGTAAAATAATAAGTGTAATACTAAGTAAATATATAATAAATAAAATAAATATGTGATTGTAGTTAGTCTATCAAAGTTAATTAAATTGATAGCAAAGAAAAAAATCTATCAAACTATATTAAAAGATGTCAATTTAAATAAATTTATACCAAAAATATATATGTAAAAATATGTTGAAACCTAGTTAAATTTGTCAATAAAATAAAACTTAGGACATATTTATTGGGGGCTTTTAGAGTGGAGTTCTTAACTCATGATTTGACATTTTTCGTTTTTTTTCTTACACTTTTGGGCTAAGAACTGATTTTTATATCTTTTACTTAAGAGACAATTCTTAGTTTTTCTTAGTTAAAAACTAAGAAACGTATTTAACTGAAACTAAGAATTCCACGTGAGAACCCCCAATAAACATGGCTTTATGGATAGGAAGTTTGTTGTCTTAATGTGAATACCTTATGCATTTAAATCCCCTATATATTAATTGAAAAACATTTTAACAGATGTAACCTTAAGTATTAATTAAAAAAATAACTCCATTTATTTGGCGGTTCTCTATGCCTTCTAATTCAATATAGAAGGATTCTAGAGCAACTTATATAAAATATAGTTTAAAAATTATATTCTCTAGCAATATAATATTTCGCCGACTATAGTTGGTCACATATATCAAATATTTATTGTTCCCATACTTTCCTTAAATAAAACCTACATAAGTACCTAATATGATTAAAATATATATATAGCAGTTAATGATTTGAACAATAAAAATTTAATAACAATCCGTATAGTTTTTATCATTTTGTTTATTTTTATTATTAAAATAAATTACAAATTACATTAATCATTAATAAGAATCTATTTTTTTGTGTATGTTGTATTTCGAATTTTTCAAACGAGTACAAATTATTAAAACTGTTAAAATTCTCAAATAAGCTTTTATGATCAAGGTATAATTTTTTTCTATATTAAGATACAATTATATAAGAGCAAACATGTCATTATTTTTTTTGAAATGGTTATAAATTATTGAAATCACTAAACATCCCACATTAAAAAAAAATTTGTTTGTGTAAAATTTTGTTATACAAATATGCAAATAACCATAAAATCATATGAGTAGAAACCTCATTTAATAAATATACATATTAGAGCACCCGCAATGGTGTTACCCATTGGAGTCCTTAGTTTTTGATTTTTTTAATTTTTTCAGATATTTATAAAAAAAAACTAGATACTAACCAATCGCGGACCGACACGTGTTGCGGGGGCCCGCAAATAGTACACGGATTCACTAAGGATCAGTCTTTATTTAGAGAATTTCAAGTATTAATTCTTAATTTTTTGTGGGATCCGCTGATTATTTAATTTTTTTTCCCTAAGAATTTCCTTTAAAGATCTCCCATTGGAGCTGCTCTTGAAAGTGTGATATGTATCTATGTTAATATCATTTAAATTTAATTATATATCGTATACGATAGATAAGATTGATTGTTTTGATTTATTTATCCTAATTGCAAATAAATAATAGTGATCGTTAGATTTATATTCACACGTCAATTTATTACATAGTAGTAATTAATTTCTTAGTTATTTAAAATATATACTTATTATTTTATTATTTCATAGTATGCAGAAAAACATAAAATAAATAATAAATATAAAATACTTATTCTGTAAAAAAATGCAGATCTTAACCTAAGTATGTATCTCTTTAATTATTTTAAATCTTAAGCATTATCTAAATCTTAGGCCAAAACAAACAAACGAAATGTTAATAAATTTCAAAAAATATATTTATATCGAGCAGTAACCAAAATGAAAAAAACACAAAAAATAGAAAAATATTGAAGATAGATAGGATTCACACGTGAACGTAAACTTCTCATCACCATAATTAATTTTTAAATTGCGAAATCATGATATAAAACCGAGATACATAATTTCACTTTAACCAAATAGACCCGAGATTTTTTGACATAAATGTTAGGTTCTTTGCATTAAGTGATATTTTGACATAAAACATTTTTAAAAATGAGATCACTTCGTTAGTAAACAAATTTATGTACTTAACAAAAAAAATTTAAAAAATTATTTAAAAATAAAATATTAATTCAATCAAGAATATATATTTATTTTTCCATATAATATTTTTTAAATAATTTATATAAAATAATGATTATAGTCCGACTAACTTGATGTAGTCTCCAATAGATTGTTAAATTGACTGAGCAGCTTCCTTAATCGTCACCCCCAAGAAATTTCAAACTTCGATAACAATTCTTAATGTATTCAATGTATTCACGTAGCGTTGACTTTAGTGTGTATTAAATTACACTAGTTTTTCTCAGCCTCTGTTATCTGAATTTATATCATTCACACAAGTCCCAACGACACAGAAATGGTCGACGATACGAACTACACAATTCCAAGAAGATAATGGAAGATCCTCTTTTACCGGAAGACGAGCAGCGTACCACCGGGAATCCAAAGCCGCCGCCGACATGGCGGATGGATTTTACGGCGGAGCTGAAGAACGTCAGCCGCATGGCCGCACCTATGGCCACCGTGACCGTTGCTCAGTTTCTATTGCCACTTGTATCGGTCATGGTAGCCGGCCATCGTGGCGAGCTCCAGCTCTCCGGAGTTGCTCTTTCCACCTCTTTCTCAAACGTCAGCGGCTTCAGCATCATGGTAATTACATATCCTCCTGCTGCATAGCTAACTTGAAGAGGGAGGGTTGTGCTTGGTTTCGGCTTTGGACCGTAGGTTGTACTTATGTCTTTTTAGTACCTTGAACTTCTACACTTGTTTTTTTTTTTTTTTTGCAGTATGGGTTAGCGGGTGCACTTGAAACTTTGTGTGGCCAAGCTTATGGAGCCAAACAATACGCCAAACTTGGAACCTTCACGTACTCTGCAATCGTCTCCAACGTACCCATCTGCGTCCTCATTTCGATTCTCTGGATTTACATGGATAGGCTCTTGATTTCAATCGGACAAGACCCTGACATCTCCAAAGTAGCTGGCTCCTATGCGGTCTGGCTTATACCGGGTTTGTTCGCTCAAGCGGTGCAACAACCTCTAACTAAGTTTCTCCAGACTCAGGGTTTGGTTCTACCTCTTCTCTACTGTGCTTTAAGCACACTTTCGTTCCATATACCAGTTTGCTGGCTTCTGGTCTACACTTTTGGTCTCGGAAGCAATGGAGCCGCCTTGGCAATTAGTGTGTCTTACTGGTTTAACGTCTTGAGTATCGTTTGCTACGTGAGATTCTCCAGTTCTTGCGAGAAGACTCGCGGTTTTGTATCTGATGATTTCGTTTCTGGCATCAAACAGTTTTTCCAATATGGAGTACCGTCTGCAGCGATGACTTGGTAAGACATTCATCTTCTTTGTCTCTGCTTCATCTCGCTTTATTTGTCTATTATTTTCCTGCGTGCAGCTTAGAATGGTGGTTGTTTGAGCTCCTTATATTGTCCTCAGGACTCCTCCCTAATCCGAAACTCGAGACCTCTGTTCTTTCGGTTTGGTAATCTACTATACTCTTATGATCTGCCTCTCCCTTTTTACATATCTCAGGAGGAACTATCCCAAATCTATTTTATGTTCTCTTCATGACAGTCTTTCAACAGGATCTTTACACTATGTCATTCCAATGGGTATTGCGGCTGCTGTGAGGTATGAGTTCGATAAACCATATCAAAGTTTTGTTTGAGAATTTGCATGTTAGTTACACCGATTGGCCCCTGTTTTTACTTTGTCAGCACACGGATTTCAAACGAATTGGGAGCCGGGAATCCAGAGGTTGCCAGGCTTGCAGTGTTTGCCGGTGTATTCCTTTGGCTCCTAGAGGCTACCATTTGTAGCACAATTCTCTTTATTTCCAGGAATATTTTCGGTTACGCCTTTAGCAACAGCAAAGAAGTTGTGGACTATGTGACAGAGCTAGCTCCTTTACTCTGCTTCTCATTTATCGTAGACGGGTTTGCAGCAGTTCTTGGTGGTAAGAAGATATCCATATCACAACTAGTTGATGATAGAAAAGAATGGATCTCGCAGCTCAAATGTGTTTTCATATACTTGGGTAGGTGTTGCTAGGGGAAGTGGGTGGCAACATATTGGAGCTTGGGCAAATGTGGTGGCTTACTACCTTATTGGAGCTCCGGTTGGACTTTTCTTAGCATTTTGGTGTCACTTTAATGGTAAAGGGCTATGGATCGGTGTGATCTTTGGTTCTACATCGCAAGGCATCATACTTGCTACAGTCACTGCTTGCATGAGTTGGAACGAACAGGTCAATTCCAATCTATTTGTTTGTTTTATAGAGTCTTTGTTTATTTTTTTTCTCTACTGAAGTTGCTTTGCTGCTATCTAAAAATTGCAGGCTTCCAAGGCAAGAAAAAGAATAGTTGCAGAGCCTTCTTCGTTGGGCAATGGAATTGCTTGAAGGGTTTTTTATGTAATTTGATACAATTCACAGAGATTTTGCTTTTCTTCGGATATGGGATATTATCATCGTACTTTGTCAACGTAGTCCCTCATACAATACTGAAAGTTGCTCTTTACTTGATGATCCGTACTTGAATAAACACTTCATGGTTATCTACAGAGTTCTAATTTCACACACAAATTTTTGAAAATATAAATACATTCTGTCATAATTAGTCAAATCAACTTATTTATTTTTCCAGAAAATTTACTGAAAATGATTTAAAATTTGACTTTAATAGTAAATTGGAGCACTTCATTCCTAGCTATTCGAAGGTATTATACAATCACTTTTTAGAGAAAAATAAATATATTTTGGTTGGATTTGGTTGAACTAAGGGCATGATTATATATTTGGGTCAAAAAATAAATGAAAAAGCCGAAGAAACAACGAAGTTGGACCTTAATTAAGAAACAAAATGGGCTCGTCTTTAGGCGACGTGTCACGATGCGATTCGACCGAAAAGCAGCAACACGGATCGTCTCGTCTCTCTCCTCTCTTTCTCATTTCACTCTACACGAAATCAACTCGAGGACGATTCGAGGCGACTCTTTCTCGCGTGATTTGTTGAAGACGAAGTAATCTAATCATTCGCCGGCGTAATCCATTAGAAGATCGATCTTTCTCCGGCGAGTTCTCCAGGTAAATTCGTCATCTCATCTGTTGAAAAGTCGTAGCTGTTTATACTTTTGTTTGTCGGTAAATCTCCTCCGTTTGTTGTTTTTGTTTCTATCTGATATGGGTATTGCATGATTGGTTTGGTGGTTGTGTAATCTTAATTGAAAATCTGTGTAGGTTTAGGATCTTTTCTTCGAATCGTAAATCAGATGTTGTAAAGTTTGTGTGTTTGGTGGTTCTTCTACCTTATCGTGCCGATTAAAAATCAATATATTATTGTAATGAATGTTTGGATCAGGCATATGATGTTTCTTCGAATAGCATTCAACGATTAGCATTTATAATTGCTTGAAATGGTTTCTTGATTTTTGGTAAACCAAAAATCAATCTATTATTTGGACGATTAGCATTTATAATTGTTTGAAATGTTTGCTTGAAATGGTTGTTACCAAAAATCAATCTATTATTTGAACGATTAGCATTTATAATTGCTTGAAATGGTTGGTAAATTGTTTGACTTGATTCCTCCTTTGTGATTTAGTGTTTCGTTAATGGTTGGTAAGTTCTTTGATTAGCAATACTCATCAGAAAATGGTTGGTACGTTCTGTGATTAGTATCTTTATGCTTTAGGCTATCGCTTAGTAGTAAGAGAGCAGTAGTTAAATGCTAGCTGTACTGATACACTTGAATTTTGACATAAATTGAGCTGTGAATTTGAATATTTTAGTGAGAATGCTAGCTGTACTGATACACTTACGCTTTTGAAACAGCTATAGCTTAAGTACTTGTATTTAGGTACTTGTGTTTGTCTGAACTGGTTACTGATTTAGTTAGATAGGTTAGACAGGTTTGATTGTTTCGGTTACTGATTTGTTTACAACTATGGTCGACTTTTATGTTATAGTTACATAGGTTAGATATGTTGACATGAAGTGTAGTTTGTTTGAAACGAAGTCTCTTTTAATTAAACAGTTTTTGCTAACTCTGTACAAAGTAATAAATGATGAAATGACATTTGTGGTTTACGGCTAGACTTTAAGACTGAAACTTATTACACCTAACTTCCTCCTCTATATTAAACCTCAAGCATTCTTGAACCTGAACATTATCCCTCCTCTTTGCAAAAACCCGTAAACTCGAGAAATTTTAGCTTTAATTCATTCTCTGTTTTTTCGATATGGATCCAAGGACCCCATATAGTCAGTCCCCTGGCTATGTTGGCCTTCTAAACAGCCAACAACAAATCCTTAACCATGGAAACTTTTCCTTTGAAAGTTTCCCTTCTAGTATCAATCTTGGAGCCAACGAAAACCCTCCATTCAGTACTCAGCAAGCTCGCGCTCCAGCTCTCCCTGTTGTCCCACAAGTGGTACGTAAGGTGAGGAAGAAATGGACGCCAGCTGATGACGAGGTCTTCATCAGTGCGTGGCTCAACACCTCGAAGGACTCTGTTGTCGGGAATGATCAAAACGCTGGGACCTTCTTGAACAGAGTGACGCAGTACTACGCAGCAAGCCCTCACGCCAAGGCTACTGGTGAGAAAGTGGAGCAACTCAGCCTTAAGCAGAGATGGCACAATATCAACGACCAAACCAATAAGTTCTGTGGCGCATTTGCTGCGGCAGAGAGACAGAACGGCAGTGGTCACCATGATAATGATGTCCTCAAGGTGGCTCACGAGCTCTTCTATGCGGATCAAGAATACAAATTCACGCTTGAACATGCATGGTGTGTGTTGAGGTATGAGCAGAAATGGCTTAACCTCAACACCACCAAAGCAAGTGACAGTTCAAAGAGGAATATCGGTGAGACAGCTTCCCAGGCTTCAGCCACCAATGTTGGCGAGGAAGAGGCCCGCCCTGAAGGTTGTAAGGCTGCGAAAGCAAGAAGGGGTAATTCCAAAGGGAAGGGTCTTGAGGAGTACAAGACCATTTGGGAAATCAAGAGAGAGGATTTGGAGATGAAGGTGGAACTGTCAAAGTTGGCTATTCTTGATACTCTCCTCGCTAAAAAGGAGTCACTAAGCGAGGCTGAGGAAGACATGAAGAATAAAATCATAGCCCAATGTTTCTGATGTGCTAAGTTCTGCTTTATTTATGTTGTTGTTCTGCTTTAATTATGTGCTAAATTCTGCTTTATTTATGTTGTTGTTCTTTGAAGTACTAGTTTATTTATTATGTTGTTGTTTTTAGGTTCTAGTTTGTGATGATCACAAACTAGCTATGTAATGCGGCTATTATATGAATGTTATTTCTGTTTTATTCTTGTGACTTTTGCTTTAACTAAACTGCTTAATTTATTATACGTTTGAGCTGATGTATTTTTTTAAAAAAATATGTAGATGATCTATATTAAGGATTAAACACACATTTACTGGTTTCTGTTACTTATGTTTTGCTATTTATTTTGCAGGTTTAATGGGTCTTGATTATAGCTACTCACAGCCTTCAGTCTCGGTAGAGTACGGTGGGAGCTCTGGAGGCACTGGATACACAGAAGACCTCATACGTCAAGACCAAGCGGAGCTGGGTTACATTGAAGACGACATCCTTCAAGACCAAGCTGAGCTGGGATACATTGAACACCACAGACGTCAAGCTCATGCGGTTCAGTATCCACCTCAGCCGGAGGTGGAGTTTGGGTTCCCTCAGGCGTGCTACTGTGGTGCTCGCCCTTTTCTCACTACGTCCTACACAAGAAGAAACCCCGGTAGAAGATTTTACACCTGCGTCAATGTTGATGATGGTGATTGCCATGTCTGGAAGTGGTGGGACGTGGCTGTCATGGAGGAGATGGGAGCGAGGGACAGACACGTCCTTCAGCTGGCTGAGAAGGTAGATACACTTACTTATGGCAATGACCTTGATACTGAGCAGAAACTCATGGAGTTACAGAAGAAAGTTGGTGACCTTGTCATTAAGAAGAAACCGAGGTTGAATAATCAATTTGAGTTGGCTGTTGGTGTTGTTGTTCTTCTCTTCTTTGTCTTGGTATGGTTGTTCTTGTCTTGTAAGCACATGTAGTTGTTCTTCTCTTGTAAGAAAATGTATTAAGCAAAAGTAGTTCCTTATGTATGCCTTGTAATTCTCGATCACGGATGTATGCGTTGTATTTTTTCGAAGTCATCTTTGTATGCAACTAGTTCTTTATGTATGCGTTTTATTTTTTCGAACTCATCTTTGTATGCCTTGTAATTTGATGAAATGAATATGTTTTTATTATGCAAGGAACTATTTGTATGCCTTGTATATTTCGAACTCATCTTTATGTAATCTGAATGAGTAGAGTTGAAATTCACAAACTATTACTATGTTTTAAAATGCAATTATGAGCATATTATAAGCAAACTCATACTATTATTACTTAAGAAGTTTAAACAAACTCTAACTATTATACTATGTTTTATTATAAAAACCGAGGACTTTATTTATTAGGTTTGTATGGTAGTTAATGTTTAGCAAGGAATCTCAACTATTATTCGTCGAGCACAAACATACTATTATTAGAAATGCAATTACTCGTTGCAAACCACACCTTATTATTTGATTCTACACAAAGCATATAAGTATATTATAGGATGGCCATAGAAAAAACAAGACAATATTTGATTCTTCCACAAGCATATAAGCATATTATAAAAAATTTAAAATTGTCAAAGATACCAAGAAACATTTGTATATAAATATGATACATCTCTTCTTATCTTTGACACAACAATCATCTCCATTTTTAATTACCATTAACATAGTTTCCTTTTCGCTCTTTTTTCATTTTAAATGGCATCTTCCTCCCATTACCACTATCACAATGATGATGATGATAATAGTTTAGAAACTCAAATTGAGGACTTTTTTGAAAACTATCTTCAAATTCAAGAACCGAAAGAACGCAAGCCACGTATTTTTATAGAAAGAAACCGAGAAGACGGAAGCGACAAACTATGGAATGATTACTTTAGTGATAATCCAACATATCCTCACAATATATTCTGGCGCCGCTTCCGAATGAGCAAGAATTTATTTATGCGTATTGTGCATCGTCTCTCCACGGAAGTTGACTATTTCCGACCAACACATGATGCAGTGGGACGGGGTGGTCTTTCTTTGCTCCAAAAATGCAGGCAGCAATACGCCAAATAGCTTATGGTGGTGGAGCGGATGCAGTTGATGAATATGTTTGACTTGGAGAAACAACGGCTAGAAAATGTCTCCACCAGTTTACCGCCGGAAGAATCCGTTTGTTTGGTGATGAATACCTAAGACGTCAAACCCCCGAGGATCTTGAGAGACTACTCTATATTGGAGAACAACGTGGATTTCCTGGGATGGTTGGAAGCATCGACTGTATGCATTGGGGGTGGAAGAATTGCCCTACCGCTTGGAAAAGGATGTATTCACGAGGGACCAGTGCTCCAACATTTGTGCTAGAGACTGTTGCTTCATATGACCTCTGGATATGGCACGCGTTTTTTGGAGCTCCAGGTACTATGAACGATC